TCGCTTTTTATCGTATGCAGACTGCCTCTATCATCACCACTTTCTATATCGCCTCTCCTTTGATGAACTGGTGTCGGACTACACAGCCAACAAAAATTAGGTAACAGCACCACAGAAAGGCTCCGATGGGGCCGGGCGGTGGTGGCGCACGCCTTTAATCCCAGCACTCGGGAGGCAGAGCCAGGCGGATCTTTGTGAGTTCGAGGCCAGCCTGGTCTACAGAGCGAGATCCAGGAAAGGCGCAAAGCTACACAGAGAAACCCTGTCTCGAAAAACCAAAAAAAAAAAAAAAGAAAGGCTCCGATGGTGCTTTGTCCAGCCTGCAAAACAGGAAATAGAAAGCAACCTGGGGCTACATGACAAACGCTTTGATGGAAACCGGGCCACACAGTCCCGTAGTCATCTCTCCACCTCAGCTTGCCTCTTTTGCAGAACCTCGGAACAGCGTAGGCTCCATTGTCTCAAGGCTCCCGAACAAACTCCCAAAACATTTTGACCTAGCCTGGTTCACTTTCCACTCCTTGACCCACCTTCTCCCGGTCCCTGCAGCAAGCTACTTTCAGTATCTAATAGAGTCCATGTTCTTTCTTACTGCTGGATCTCATCACTGCTGTGGGATGGTCTGTATGTCAAATGTGTTGCTGATTGGTCAATAAATAAATCACTGATTGGCCAGTGGCCAGGCAGGAAGTATAGGCGGGACTAAGAGAGAGGAGAATTGAGAGAACAGGAAGCTGGGTGAGGGAGACACTGCCAGCCGCCACAATGACAAACAGCATGTGAAGATGCCGGTAAGCCACGAGCCATGTGGCAAGGTATAGATTAATGGAAATGGATTAATTTAAGCTGTAAGAACAGTTAGCAAGAAGCCTGCCACGGCCATACAGTTTGTAACCAATATAAGTCTCTGTGTTTACTTGGTTGGGTCTGAGCAGCTGTGGGACTGGCAGGTGATAGAGATTTGTCCTGACTGTGGGCCAGGCAGGAAAACTCTAGCTACATATCACACATTGTTCCCTATTCCTGCAGGGCTCTTCCCAGCAAGCCCACTCACTTCTGGGTAACTCTCAGCTGTCATTCAGTGAAGTTGGATCACTGACACATTAGATGTTTATGGACTAAATATATCTAATTTTTAAGGAGCTCAAACCACACCCCTCAGCTGAAATCTGAGCCTCTATTCTTCAAACTGACCCTCAACAGTTGAGGAAGGATTTTAGGGGGTTGGTGGTGACTTCACCATGAAATGTTTGTCGGGATTCTTTTTTTTGTTGTTGTTGTTGTTTTTTGAGACAGGGTTTCTCTGTGTAGCTTTGCGCCTTTCCTGGAACTCGCTTTGTAGACCAGGCTGGCTTTGAACTCACAGAGATTCACCTACCTCTGCCTCCCAAATGCTGGGATTAAAGGTGTGCGCCACCACCGCCCGGCTCTACTTGTCTGGGTTCTTTAGGCTGAAATCATTTCTTTAATTACTGGAAGCAGCTGGTGACTGTGGACACAGGCAGAACTAGAGGAGTGCTCTGATCTCCACTACCTCCTACCTCTGTCCCTTCACCTGGAGACACAGGCTGTAACCAAGGGGAACCTGCAAGTCTGAGGCTTTGAAGACCTGTGTGGGTGAACCAGTCAGGTCTTGTTTTGTTGCAACCAAAATAAATAGAAATGGCTCAATGGCTCACACACTAAGAGGGCGGGGGGGGGGGGGGGGGGGGAGGGGGCGGCGGGAGATTTAGTTCATTATCTCGACGAAGACCAAGAAACCTTTCTTGGTTTGTTTCTAACTTGCTCCTTATTCCAGCAGAGAACCTTTCTCCTCACGTCCCTTGACCAGGCTTGTTAATCTCAGCCTGGGACGCTTTAGGATGTAAACAATTAAAACTGCAAGGCAGGCTTGCTGCCGTGTTTAAAGGGAATGTATCTTAACAGTGTGGTCTGAGCACTTTTACCATCTTGTTACAAGCTCCCATGCACTGAATTAATGATTTGCAGAGTAAGTCTCCATCTGCACAGGACTTTCGAATGTTTGGGTTTAGTAGCACAATCCAGCGTGGCCAAGGAAACACTCCTATCTGAATGGTCAAATAAATAAATTTGAAGTTCAAAACATTACCTGTTGGTAAACTAGATTCTCTGGGGGATTGTCACCAAGACTGTCTAATTCCATAGTTATTTGACTTTTTCAATCCTGTATAAGACTCCTTACAACAGAAAATCACTTTTATTTTGGGAAATGTTATAAGAAGAGAGTGGGAAAGGAGAGAGGAATGGGGAGAAAGGACAAGATTATTATGGTCTAAAATAAGAAAAACCACCGGGAGGCGGTGGTGCACACCTTTAATCCCAGCACTTGGGACGTAGAGGCAGATGGATCTCTAATTTCAAGGCCAGCCCAGTCTACAGAAGTAGTTCCAGGAGAGCCAGGGTTACACAGAGAAACCCTGTTCAACACCCATCCTCCAAAAGGATAATATATAAATACCATTTTAACATAAAGTTTCCAATGAAATTAAAAAACAAAACTGACAAGTTTTTGTTCTTAACAAAACTTCTTATTTAAGGTATAAACATATATACCTTAAATACAAATGTATAATTGGTAATTCTATCAAACCATTAAGTAACCTTTGAGATAGGAGATCTCACTACGTAGCACAAATTGGCCTGGAATTCCTTTACAAAAACATTTAATTATGTGTGTCTTAGCTACTGTTCCATTGCTGTGAAGAGACACCATGACCAAAGCAACTCATAAAGAAATCACTTCATTGGTGGCACTATCGCATTTTAGAGGGTTAGTTCGTGATCACTGATCATTGTGGCAGAAAGCAGAGTCATGACACTAGAGCACTAGCTGAGAGCTTTACATCCCGGTCTGCAGACAGAGAAGATACACACACACACACACACACACACACACACACACACACACACACACGCACGCACACACGCACGCACGCACGCACGCACGCACGCACGCACACACGCACACATGAACATCATAGCATGTCTGTGGAGATCAGAGGATGGCCTGCAGGGACTGATTCTCTTCTACCCAGTGGGTCCTGGGAGTCAAACTCAGGTCATCAGGTTGGGTGACTGTGCCTTTTTCCAGAGCCTTCTCACAAGCCCCAAAATCTTAAATGGACAACAAAATCCAAATGGACTACATAGTAAGATTCTCTCTCTGAAAAACAGTACAATCCAACATAGAAATAATGGTGAATGTTGACAGTTGTCCTGGTTGAACCAGGAGGTACACGGGGTGACACAGCACACTCTGCTGTGTCTGTGAGGGAGTTTCCAGAGGCCATCAACTAAGGGACTGAGGCTATCCCTGTACGGGGTTGGCACCATTTCATAAACTGGGGACTGGATGGAATAAGGAGACCTGACAAGCACATGGTGCAAACATACATGCAAGCCAAACTCCTGTACACATAAAAGGAGTAAATATTCAAAAGAAGAAATCCTGCTTTTGAGCGGGGGGTGGGGGGGTGTGTTTCCATATGTATTACAGGTTGGCCTAGAATTTGTAATCCACCTGCCTCAGTATCATGAGAGCTGGGACTATTGGCATGTGTCATCCCAGTTTTTATCAACTATTCTCCAGGGTAGAATCAAGGCTATGTATTGAGGCTTTGTATTTTAGCTTTCACATCTATTAATTCAGATTTCAACTACGGAATAAGTTTTGGCTGCATAGTGTCTATTCTGTACTGACATATTTGGGAATATGAATCTTTTGAAGATGTATTTTTATTTATGTGCATCCTAGGTTTCTTTCTGTTCCTGTTATAAAACACTCTGGCCAAAAGTAACCCAGGGAGGAAAGGCTTTATTTGGCTTATACTTTCAGATTACAACCATTGAGGGAAATCAGGGCAGGAACTTAATGGCAGGAACCTAGATGTGAGAACCTTGGAGCAATGTTGCTTGCTGCCTCTCTGTGGCTAGTTTAGCAGCTCTCTATACCCACTTTCCTAAGGATGGTGCTGGCCATAGAAGACTGGAAACCCCCCCCCCCATCAGTCATCAATCAAGGCAATCCTTCATAAACATAGCTGCAGGCCAATCTGATCCAGGCAATCCCTCAGTTGTGACTCCCTCAGAAGACTCTAGGCTGTGTCAGATTGACAAGGAGGCCAACTAGAACAGTGCATGTGCTTATGTGTATGGGTTCCCTTGGAGACCAAAAAATGGGGGGGGGGGGAAATTCAGGACATGGGAAGTGCTTGCTTAATATTAGTTCATATTGAGTAGGTTGGTGGCACAGCTGTCTAGTATATTGGACAAGTCCCTAGGTTTGACTCCCCAGCATTGAGAAGAGAAAAAATGTGAATGACTTTGGCATGCACCAAGTTATTTAAGCATGTTTACTACCATTTCTAGCGCTAGAAGAGGCTTTCCTCCCAAACAGTTTTGTACATTCCACGGGCATGAAAGTGAACGCTGAAGACTAAAAAGAGAATTTGCAGGTAGTCTCATAACCACACAGCACAGCACCACTTCATGCTGTATCCCGAACGGCTGCAAAGACGAATTTACACACACACAAGCACGCACGTGGGAGCACACGGAAGGCAGATAGGGAACAAAACTTAGAAACAAACCTGGCCGAGCACAGTGTGGTGGTTCATGTCTATATTCCAGCAGCTGGGAGGCTGAGGCCGGAAGATTGCTGGTGAGGTCATCCTGGGCCACACAGTAAGAAACCTTCGAAGACATGGCTAGCCAGTCATGGCCAGTTATCCCTGTAATCTCAGAACCTGGAAAGCTGAACAGGATGACAAATGCAATGTCAGCCTAAGATGGACAGATCCTGTATGAAAGGAAGAACTAAGGACTGGGACGTAGTCAGCAGTCTTTGCCTGGAGGGTATCTCCTTCCATCTGGGTGGAAAGCCGTCCAAGGCCAGCATGCTGCCCCAACACCTTCACTGTGGCAGTGGAATTCCCACTGTCGACCAGCCACCAAGGACACACTGCAACCACCAGCAAAGCTTAGCAAGTAAAAAATGGAATCATTCCTTTATTGTAAAGCTTCCTTTAATGATTTCTGTGCTTTTCCTTATAAGAATAAAACATGACAGCTAATCTTCACAACTGAAAACCAGAGACTTAGACAAAAATCACATTTATTTCAACAGCTCTGGGTGCCAGTCGAGAAGTCAATTCACAAAGCTCACGACGCGACTTCAATGAACACTTGACACATGAAAACAAGGGTCGACAGCGGAAATGAGCTCTCAGTTTAAAAAACACCTCAAGTAATTTGAAAATCTTTTAGACTATAATATTCTATATACATCACGTAGGAAATGAGTCAATTTACAAGATAAAGTTACTACAATCAAATAATCCTTCACAGAAAGAATAGTCCTAAATTGGTCAGCCCCAGACCAGAATGGGGTTTCAGTCACTCGCTCTGTCAGCTGATAGATTCAATTCACAATATTTTCATTTGGGTAAATTCTAAAAAACACTATGTCTAAAGTCAACTAGAAGGCCATCATCACTGTTGAGAAAATTTTTGAACTGACCAGCGTATGTAAAAGGCTTAAAAGGCAATGTCAACTTCAGCCGCGGGTGGCATGAAGTGATAAGTTGCACATTAATACTTCCCCCAACACCTGAAACCTTTTGATGCGGTTAAGCAATATGGCCTTTAAAACCTCATGAAAACTGTACTTAAATATATATATTTATTTATTCCCACATATACAGAACTTGAATGTAAAGTAGAAAAGTTCCCATCTGGAAGATAATTAAAGGGCGTTAATGTTCTTTTTATCACTTAGCAGCCAAGTCTCGTGCTTATTTCTGCTCCCCAGAAGCAATGTTAGTTACTAGCTCCAGTTGAGGAAACATATCTCCAAGAGGTGTATGAGGGGAATTCACTCAGTCTTTTTCCCAAGCTTCTTCATCTTTTCATTATAGGCATGATACTGGGCGTCTGTTCCAAAGAGTCTATCCCACCATGTGAAGGTGGATGCGTAATTCCCAATGAAGTTCATGTGGTGGAAATCGTGGTGCCGAGAACCCGTATAAAAGGGGATGAAGTTCAACGGGTTGATAGGAATGTAATAACCACTGAAAAGAAAACGATACAGGTTATTCATGAGACACATCACGAGCACTCACATGTTCGTTAGCAAGCAGCATTCCGCTTTACCCAAATCACTTCGTTTCTCTCTCACATGTTTACAAGACAAAAATTTGGCAGTGTGTGGTGGTAGACACCATAGCCCCAGCTCATGAGAGGCTGAGTAGAAGGACTGTCAGTACATGGGCAGCCTGGGCTACAGAGTGAGTTTCAGGTCAGCCTGGGCTCTGAGGCCCTAGCTGGAAAAACAATAACAACAAACCTTACAGGAAAAGGTACATGTTGGGAGATTTTGAAAACCTTAAAAGACACGTGGAAATCTGATACCAAGAAATGAAAGGAAGGACCACAGTAATAAAGCAGTCACACATTTTCAAGAAACACTTTTTTCTCTTTAGAGGAGCCTGCCCACCACAATCTAGAAAAGGTGTAAACCACGTTCATAATGCTACCTATGTTTTTGAGGAAAAGCTATGTGAAATCAGCCTCAAGTATCTACAAAGTTTAAATACCACTGTGTTGTTTTAGTTGGGGAACAAATGACTTCAAAAAGAGTCTTGTTGGGTCTACTCTCTTTAGTTTGATATCTGAGATTGGACAAAACTCCTTATCACGTCTCCAGTCTGTGGAGAGGGGGCACCTGAAACACGTCCATATCTCATCGGCTTCCTTAAGTAACTGCTTTCGCCCGAGCCACCTAGAACCAGCAATAACCTTACAGCAGAGGCTACTGGTTCCAACACCCTCTGGGGAGTGAGGTTCACCATAGCAGGTTAACTGCTGGCCCTGAGCTTTGCTTGATAAGACGCATGCTGTCATTTAATAAATGGTAACAGATCAGTCTATTACAAAAACATCCATTATTTGTACTTCTATTCAATGATTATGATTCTCTCTTTTAAAATAACATGAGAGGGCCGGGCGGTGGTGGCTCACACCTTTAATCCCAGCACTCGGGAGGCAGAGCCAGGCGGATCTCTGTGAGTTCTGGGCCAGCCTACTCTACAAAGCGAGATCCAGGACAGGCACCAAAACTATATGGAGAAACCCTGTCTCGAAAAACCAAAAAAAAAAAAAAAACCCTGAGAGATAGTTAGTAGTTAAGGTGCGTGTCACGTAAGCATGAGGACTGGAGTTCAGATCCCTAGAAACCCACATAAAAGCTGGGTGGCCTGCCTGCAATCTAAGCCCAAAGAGCTAGGGATGGGATACATTCACAGAGGCAAGCTCACCAGCAACACTGGGGAGTTCTGACTGAGAAACTCTGCCGCGGAACAGTGATCATGTTCACACATATCCACACACACAGAAAAAACATGCACTCACACCGGGGGGGGGGTGGCGGCGGCGGCGCACGCCTTTAATCCCAGCACTCGGGAGGCAGAGGCTGGTGGATCTCTGTGAGTTCGAGGCCAGCCTGGGCTACCAAGTGAGTTCCAGGACAGGCTCCAAAGCTACACAGAGAAACCCTGTCTCGAAAAACCAAAAAAAAAATGCACTCACATACAAAAGCAATCATGTTTAGATATACCTCCACACACATAAAATCATGCATTCACACACACAAGCACACCAACACACATAAAAATGGTGTCTTCTACCGGAACAGAAAGCATTACTCACCTATGGACATCGATAGTTTCCAGCAAACGTACTGTCACCCATGCCCAAAGGAGAATTACGTGATCACACAAAAGCACAATTCCAATGAAAAATCCAGTCCCGAGGATTATGGTTTCTAAAGGATGTGCATATTCTGCTTCAATTCCAAATGGAGCCTAAATCAAACAGAGTAAGAATTCCTTAATATATTGTGATGGTTAATTTTGTGTCAACTTGCTATGATATGGTTAATGTCTGAACCAGCAGATTTTATTTTTCATGAAGGTGGGTTCCATCCCGATAGTGAGAGGCCTTCCGAGCAAGGATGAGGCTTCCCAAGGAAGAAGGGAGTCACATGACAATCACAGACACCATACCTCACTTCCTGGTTGGTTGCTCTGCAAAATTTGGGCCCCAGACAGCAAAATCATTTTCTTCTTTTTTGAGGCAGGGTCTATGTAGCTGAAGTTGGCCTTGAACTCATAACGCCCCTGCCTCTGCCTAAGTGTTGGGATTATAGGAATATACCACCAGATTTTAAATAAACCTATGTGCATAGTAGCTTCGTGTTTATTCTTTCTCTGGAGAGTTACTGCAGAATATTTGTTTATACTATGTGGAGATGTGTCATTGTGATTAGTTTAATAAAGAGGCGAATGGCCAATAGGTAGGCAGGAGAGATTGGTGGGATTTGTGGGGAAAGGGAAGAGGAGAAAGAATCTAGGCACGAGAATTACACCAGTGAGAAGACCGAAGAGTCAGACATATAGGATAAAAGAAAGGTAAAAAGTCACATGGTAAAATGTAGATTAATAGAAGCAAGTTAATTTAAATTGTAAGAGCTAGTGGAACAAGCCTAAGCTAAGGTTGAGCTTTCAAATTTAATAAGAAGTCTCCGTGTCATTATTTGTGAGCTGGAGGTCCCAAAATCTGACTACAGAGAACCTAATGTATTCAGTTTATACATACAGTTTTATAAATTATATTGTTTGTATAAGTAGTGATGGTGATCTAGCTGTACATATACAAATAATAACAATAGTTCTCAGTAAATTTCCTATCAATCAAAAGGTCTAGGGATATGAATTTCTTAGTATTCATCTTTTCTCTAACTTCAACTCTAATTAAACATTGATTTACCTATTTGTGTGTGTGTGTGTGTGTGTGTGTGTGTGTGTGTGCTCATATGCATGTCCACTGAGCTCAGAGGACAACCCTCAGGAGTCAGTTCTCTCCTACTACCTTGCAGGATCCAGGGATCAAACTCAAGTCACTAGGCCTTTAACTCTTAATTTCTAGTTTATGAATCTGTAGTTACTTTATCAACAAAGGAATGCTTATACATGCACACTGAGTACTCAAATCTTAATCATGGTTTTGTTTTCTGAAGTTACGTTTACCCTACATTTACCTAAATTAACTACTATCCTAAATATTAACTCAAGAAACAATGTTTTAAATTGTGTACTGCTCTGAGTAATGCAGTATCAGTCTCAGTCCTCTCAATGAGATTCACTCTTTTGTCCTGAATATATTCTCTGTCTAGTAGTTACATTTAGATGTCTTAGTTACCAGTATGGTATCTTATCCATATTTTCGGGTATCCACTGAGACCTACAGAAAAGCAGGTCTGATTTAAAAATAATCTGTTCTGAAAATGTACTTCAACTGACTAATTGCTTTAGTTTAAGTAGTCAACACTTACTGTTTATGCATCTCATTTAAATGACCCTTCATTACTATAGCCCGTACCAATCTGCCAGCTGTCAGGATGTCACCAGTAGGGTGAGGATCTCAACCATTAGGTCTCATAGTCTTTAAAGTATCAATCATAGTGAACTATAAATTTTAAAAAAGTATATATATATACATTTATATATATAAAAGACATATGTGTGTGTGTGTGTGTCTTTAATTACATGTACGTGTGCATGTGGACATGATTGCAGGTGCCATGATTATGAGTGGCCTAATATGGGTGCTGGGAATTGAGCTCAGGTCTTCTACAAGAGTAGGATGTGCTCTTAACCACTGGGCCATCTCTCCAGTTCCTACCCTGAAAATCTGACACTGAAGAAAACTTTTAGGCCTGGTTCTGTATAGATGTGTACATCATATTCTTCAATATCATGCCAATAGAAAAGGAAATAAAAGGCCCAAGAGATGGCTCAGTGAGTAAATGTGCTCACTATGCCAGCCTCTGGAGTTGATTTTGATCCTAGGACCCATAGTATGTCCAAAGGTAGAAGAGAGAGAAGGCTGGAGAGATGGGTTGGGGGTTAAAAGCACTTGCTGCTCTTACAAGGACACAGATCCAGTTCCCACACTCACACTGGGTAGCTCCAATTACCTGCAACTCCAGTTCCAAGAGATCCAACACCCTTTTCTGGCTCTGAGGGCATCTGTACACAGAAGGTGAACTGAACACCCATACGCTCAGGCACACACAGACACACATAAAAAAATTTTTTTAAGGTAGGAGAGAGTTGACGCCACAAAGTTGTCCCGACCCTACACGAGTCCTACCTGCCATATCATGTGTGTGCATGCACACACACATATAATAAAGTTATTTTTAAAAAGGACATGTGATAAAATACCACCAATAGCTTCTAAAGATGCCTAAACAACAACCCAGGTTTTTCCACCTCAGTAGAAAAGCTGAAGTGTGGTCCTAACATACCTGAAACTCATGGTGGACTTTATGAATGTATTTATAAATCCTCTTGTGATGGAGGAGCCTATGCAGGAAATAGTGCCAGGTATCCTCAATGACAGCACAGCCCAAACACCTTGCCAAAATCATATACCTGTGAGAGGCAAACAGTAATGAATACAGAGCAACAGTGACTTCGGATGAGCGGTCAGACATTACATAAACCAAATACCCAGTCATCAGCTTGACCTAACAACAAATTCGCCAAAGTGCAAGACAGCTGAGCTGGGTGTGGGTGGCCACACTTCTAATCCCAGCACTTGGGAGGTAAAGGCAGGCAGATCTCTGAGTTTGAGGTCAGCCTGGTCTACAGAGGGAGCACCAAGCCAGCCAGGGCTACACAGTGAGACCTGTGTAGAAGCAAACAATACTGGTAGGTAAGGCCCCATGTTACAATCTGAGAGGGGGGAGGGGCAAAGAGTTTGACCCTATTTCCGTAATATTTTATGTTGCCGAAGACCTGGGTACAAAATTTGTTAAGAAACCAAAGCCTAAAGTTAACAGTAAAACAACTGCTTTTTCTACCACAGAAATACTTAATTTAAATAAAATGATGAAAAATAATCTGTATGCAAGTGTGCTCAGGCCCCTGAGGCAGGCTATGGACTAGCTATGTAGCCCAGGAAGACTCTGGAACTTCAGGCCACCCCCCTCCCCTCCTGATGCTGGGACCACAGGTGTGTGCCACCACATCCTGTTCAAAGGTTCAATTCAAAAAGTGGACTTTCAATCTGTAGTTGGTTGGCTACAAGGACGTAGAACCCAGAGGCAAGGAGTGACTGTGGACTTAGGTTCTGATACATGTATGTCCAGTTACATCAGGACATAATCAATTTCGGAGTATTAACCAACTGAAGAAAATACACATTAAGCAAAATTTAATTGAAAAACAAACCATGAATGAATATAAACATCAAATTATCATTGACATACCATCTTGGCATTCTTTCCCAATCATAAGGAATACTGAAAAACTCTGTAAAATAATAAGTTCCACAAATCATAGGCAGCTGGATACAAAAATGATTAAAGAGAAGTCCTTTCAAACACTTCCACTGGCCTTCCAAGCTTTCTGGTTTATCCTATGGAGAGAAAAAAAAAAATCACAATACTTAAAACTAGCTTGTTATCAGTAGTTCAGCTGAACAAGTAGAAATAAATTCTTATAATTTCTCCGATGTGTATAATCCCTTAGTGGCAAGGGATCTTGACAACTACTATAATTACTTTCAACAGGTTTTAAAAAAATGTTAATAGACAAATATGACCTAAAACTAACCTAAGAAGCACCAGGAGATGAGTAACTAAGTATCCAGGCTTTGCCACTTCCTTTCCAGAGAAGTCAATCATGCTACATTGAGTGTCCCACCCGAAGCCTGCACAAGCAGCAGCTGACAGCTCTATCAAAATACCCAGGTATTCAGTGGTATTCATAAGGAAATAAGGACCTTCTGTATGCACACAATGAGAGCTATGAGTTGTTCTTAAGACCTCAGGACCTCTGGACATGTGTGCTTTGGTGAGTACATGTGCATACACAAAATACAAACAATAAAATATATATGAACAAAACAAAAAAACGAATCCTTAGTCTAAGACTCAACCTATAGACTTATATTAGAATGTTGAACTAACCAGCTAATCAGCTGTGTGCTCACAAGGAAATCAGTTTTCTCAGCAACAAAGCAAGTGGACTTACACACAGTAATTTAGACTGTCTTTTTATTTCTACTGTAAGGATTCATTGACTCAACTCCAAACCTCTTGTCTCTGACCAGAGAATAACCTGAACGTTCAGGCTTATTTGAGATGGTACCTCTAGCTCCTGGCTAGACTCTGGTTCTCAAGGAGCTTTAAGAAAAACACAAAGTTTAGCAGGTAAAATGAGAAGAGTAGAAAATGCTGCCTAGCATGTGTGAGGCCCTGGGCTTCCTTAACACCGACCCCTGCCCCAAGTGTGTGTGTGTGTGTGTGTGTGTGAAAGAGAATAATCAACTACTATTATAGGAAATAAAACCACAGGCTGTGTTGTTTATATGGTATGTGCAAGCTGGCTAAGCGGACATTTAAATGCATGCCTAGTACAATACCAAAGCTTACCACCTTTTGCTTAATATGCACATCTGTACCCTAGTACCAAGGGATACCCCACTGGGGCCATGGACTCTCTGATGTTTCAGTTAGATCTCTCTTTGAGGAAACTTATCGAAATGTGATTTTTTTTTTAAAGAAACAATCCCTACAGACTCTGCTTTACGTGTCATGCATGCCAAACATCCTCTAACTAGCACGCACACAGATGAGCTGTCCAGATGCTCAGTTATTCTCTTGAAGGTGGAACGTGCTTACTAGTGGTTAACCTCCACGGCAGTCCCAGTTTTCAGTGGATGGACTTTTACCTGCATATATGTCTGTGTCCCATGTGTGTGCCTGTGCCGCTGTAGGCCACAAGAGGGCGCCAGATCCCCTGGAACTGGAGTCCCAGACCTTTGTGAGCTGCCACATGGGTGCTGAGAACCCAGGTCTTCTGGAAAAGCAGCCAGTGTTCCTAACCACTGATCCATCTTTCCAGCCCCTAGCTCCTTTTTTTTTTTGTTTGGTGGGAGGGAGGTGTGCAATATTTTTTGAGTCATGGTCTCATATGTCTTATGGTGGCCTCAAATTTCCTAAGTAGCAGAGAATAACCTCGAACCTGATCCTCCTGCCTCCATCCAAGTGCTAAGGTTACAGGTGTGAGTCACACCTGTTGAGGATATTCTGGGAGGCCTGCTCTTTTCTGAAGGGAAATGGAGGAGCAGTGGATCTAAGGGAAGAGAAGAGGTGTTGAGTGGGGGTGGAAGGAGGGGAGGTTGCAGTCAGGATGTATTGTATGAGAGAAGAATAAGCAAAGGGGAGGGGCTGGAGAGATGGCTCAGTGGTTAAGAACACTGACTGCTCTTCCAGAAGACCTGGGTTCAATTCCCAGCACCCACATGACAGCTCACAACTGTCTGTAATTCCACTTCCAGGGATCTGACACCCTCACACAGACATACATTCAGGCAAAACACCAATGCATACAAAATAAAATAAGTAAATTAAAAAAAAGAAAAAGGGAAAAAAGTTTTAAAAATGTTCTATGTGTTAAATAATATAATTCTTGAATATTTTATGGTGGACTTTCTAAAGCACTGAGCAAAAGACATGAATTGTTTTGTACGTGTTTCAATCACAGTATGTGCTTTCAGAATTTACAAATAGAATTACCTCCACATTTTTTTTCATCTAATTAATTGTGCTGTGGGGGTGGGAGGCAGAGCCCAGGATCTGTCTGCCTTTCTTCTTTTTGTTTTGCCCTATTTTATACTGTTGTTGTTGTTGTTGTTGTTGTTGTTGATACAAGGTCTCACTATGCAGCCTTGACTGGCCTAGAACTTACTCTGTAGACCAGGCTGGCCTCAAACTCATAGAAATCCACTTGCCTCTCTCTACCCGGCTCTAGGGTCTTGCACAGGCTAGACAAAGGCTCTACTACCGAGCTACAACTCTAGGTTTTATTTTCTTCTCAAGTCCTTTATGCTGTGACTACCTGCAGCCATTCTATCCAGCCTTTCATTAGCTGTAACCAATCAGATTGTGGGTTTTGTTCCTCTTGTGTGTGCTTCTACTGACTTCAAGTCATCGCCCTGTGCACGCTAGGCAAGCCCTCCAACACTGACTATATCCTCAGCCTCACTTAGGCTTTTTCCTTTCACATTTCTTTCCTTCTAAGGCCACCCACACACCCTGGGCTACAAAAGCTCTCCCCTGGACAAGGTACCACCACCTACAACCAAGCAGTCAGCTGTAGAGGGCAGTGGAGGAAGAAAACACGCTTCAGCTTGGTGACCCAATGAATCAGCCTTACTTATAAATGAATCAGTGGATGACACACAGCGGCCAGAATCACCTCTGTGACTCAGAATTTACGACATTTAAACAGAGATGTTTTCCAGCTCAGGCCCTTTCATCAGAAGCACCTTGGACGTGCTCCATCGAACGGAGGCTGAAAGGGGCATTCTATGGGCTACCTCTCTTTTTATCCCTTTCCCTTCTCTCCTCTTGGCTTAGAGTCTACTGGTACCTGATGCCTATGTTAGCTGCAGAGGAACCTGTGGTGAGCCCTTCCTTACAGTGACTCGCTGGGAGAGGCCACAGAGCTCAGAGCCTGACGAGACACAACCTGCAACCCACAAACCAGAGGAACACTCAGCACCTAGTTTCTGCCGCTGTTGAGTGGCCTTGAGTTTAGTTGGTTTAGATTAGTCAATGGTGGCATTGAAAAAAAAACAACTTTGGAGTTGGAGATGGTCCATGTCTATTAACACTCAGGAAATGAAAGTGAGAAGATCCCAAGTTCAAGGCCAGCCTGGGCTATACATGCGATGTTACCTCAAAACAAACAAGAACTAATACTGGCGTACTAAATGTTGACAAGTCCTTTCTGTCTCTATACTTGTCCAAATTTTTCTTAAATCCCATGCTAAGCAGGGCAGTGGTAGTGCATGCCTTTAATCCCAGCACTTGGGAGGCAGAGCCAGGCTGATCTCTGTGAGTTCAAGCCCAGCCTGGTCTACAGAGCAAGATCCAGAACAGGCACCAAAACTACACAGAGAAACCCTGTCTCGAAAAACCAAACCAAACAAACAAACAAACCATGCTAAGCAAATAGTCTACATATCAGTAAGAATTCATTCTGCCACCTTTGTTTAAATCTAAGACGAAGTATTGTGCGTACCCGAGGACCTTGTTATGTGCCCAGTATATCAAATACACCGAAACAAGGCACATGACCTTATTTGGGACCATAAGAAAAGGGCCATACACCTATCATGTATGTATGGGATCTTTCCGTACTGACGTTCAATTAGATTTGCTGAGGCTGTAGGAGTGGGAAGAACTACAGCAAAGTAGCCACAAATAGTTTCTTTTCTTCCTGGATGGGGGGAGGAGGGGCACAGGTGAGGTTTGAAAAAATATGTGTGTGCTGAGGATTAAACCCAGGACCTTGAGCATGTTTAAATACATAAGCTACATCTGCCCGCGAATTTAAAAATTAAAATTTATAAGCCCCAATTAGATAAGCATTACACCTTCCTAAAATTTATTTTCGGAAATTCTTTGAAACACCATCAATAATGATCTACATTGATTTTGTCTAACACACCATCTGCTGGAAGCGTGAGAGTGCTCAGCTCTCTATCTATGTGTAGCATAAATACACAGCGAAACTCATACAACAATGAAAGTAAAAATATCGCCAGGCAGTAATGGCGTGTACCTTTAATCTCAGCACCCGGGAGGCAGAGGCAGGTGGATCTCTGTGAGTTCGAGGGCAGCCCGGGCTACAAAGCGAGTTCCAGAACAGGCTCCAAAGCTACACAGAGAGACCCTGTCTCGAAAAAAGAAAAAACAAAACAAACAAACAAACAAAAACAAAAAAAGAAAGAAAAAAGAAAGTAAAAATACCAAAATGTCTCTCGAAGCAGTTTAATTTGGGCTAGTTGGTAAAATAATAGCCTAGCTTTATTGGGTTGAATTAAACATATTATGAAAATTAATTTCCCTGTTCCCTTACTGCCTTCTTAAGATATTCCACTGGTCATTTAAAGCTATGTAAGTGGCTTCGTTTTATTTCTACTGGACGGTACTGATCCCAAAGCTCAGTGTTCTTCAAAAACATCCAACACCATCAATGATAGTATCACAGACATATCACACTCACCTTTTGAATTTTGTACTTTCTCATGTAAGGGATAAATTGGAATAAAAATCCAGGCAAAGAGAACAAGAAATAGATGGCTTCGTGAACTATGAGGGACCCCCAGGTTGCGATCTGGAACTTTGTATAGTTATCCAGCATGTAGCCCCAAGCATTCTTAAAGGGCTCCTGCAGAGGGTTCTCAGGCAGCAGGGAATCCAGATACTCCACAGCCAGCGACGCTGAGCTGAAGATGTCAACGCTTTTGTTTGTGGCCATTTTCAAATCTCTGTGAGGAGCCTTTTATTTCTGTAGTAAGTAAGCAGAGAAGCGAAACAATGAAATCCTGAAAAACAGCATAAAAATATCTCCTGATATTTTTAAGTGACAATTACTAAACAAGGACTACTTTCTTAGGTTATAAAGATGATTAAAAACGATCATCATCTCCACGTCCTTTCTACAGCAAGATCTAAAAGAACAGTGGGCAAGGAATTCCAAGCTAACTTTTGGCTGTCAGCATAGCTCAGTACCCACTTGCCACGCAGTATCCTGAGTTCGATCCCTGGAACCCAAGTAAAGATGGAAAGAGAGAACAGACTCTACAAAACTATCTTCTGATTTACACACACACACGAAACGAAACTTAAAACCAAAAAGTTTGCCAAAAGTGACTAAAAGTTAAATTCTGACAAGAACAAAATGGCACTGGTAAACAAAGCCAGAGATCAAACGTCAAACCACAAAAAGCATCCCAACACGTGATAAAAGAGACACAGTGTACTTTAGAAAAACCCAGTGGAAAAAACAACAAAGGCCATTGATAGGCAGTTCATACAACAATGAAGCCAAACGGTCCCCCAAGTCCCACAGTGCCTGCTGTACAAGCACAAGTACTGAGTTCAAACTCCCCGCACCCACATGAAAGCTAGGTACAGCGGTGGGCATCTGTACCCCCAGCTCTCAAACGGAGGCACTCCAGGTTCAGTGAGAGAGCCATCTGAAAAAACAACCAAGGCACAGAACAACGGAAGGAAACAGCCCACATTGACCTTTAGCCTCTACATGTGCACTCACAGGCACGCATGCCCCCCCCCCGGCCCCACACACACATACACACAAACCAAGAAACTTCCCTCCTTCAAAGGAGGAACTGTATCCCAAAGAGATACTTTTGCCCAAGCGGCAAACCTTTTAAAGTTCAACAACCCACTGCTCAGAACTGGTAGGCAAAGAGACATTATCCATACTGTTGGCTTGGGACAAATCAGTTTATCATTTGAGGCAAAAAAAAAAAAAAAAAAAAAAAAACCAAAAACTAAAACAAACCAGTATTGACATAATCCGGTCCTTTAATTCAAGGGTAGAAGACAACACACTACGCTAGAAGGACGCATAGCTTCTAACTAGCACCAGATTTAGAAAGAATATGGAAGTCCATAAGCAGGAGATGAGTTAAATAATACAGCTGTTTACAAGAATGAGACAGCCGGGCACGGTGGCTGACACCTGTAACCCCTGTACTTGAACCTGAGGCAGGAGGATTGCCGGGAGTTCAAGGTGAGCCGGAACTACACAGGAAGACATCTTCAAGATGTCTCCAGTAAAACCAAATAAAGTAACGACAATGATGGAAACAACTGCCTGTGTCTCCAGCTCCAAGGCACCAGATTCCCTCTCCAGGACCGTCAGGCACCTGTAGTTACACATAGGATGTTGTTCTCCCCAACAGCCCCCATATACAGGTAATAAAACTGAAAATTAAATTAAATAAAAATCCTATTTTGTATAGGATGACATCTGAAATTTAGTCTTAGCCCCAGAGACAAATTTATAGAATAGCATGTATAGCAAGAGTCAAATATGGCTATGTAAAAGCGAAGTCCCTGGCTTCTTGTGAAAACCACATATTTCCTCTATACACTTCAACTCATGCGTGTGTACACAGTGCACACACACACACACAAAATGTACAGGACAAAACCGTTTCTACAGTGCTGGTCTGTGAGAAGAGATCCAAGGGGGAAAGCAAGGAGGAAAACCTTTCCCTGTTACACTTTCTTTACGGTTTTAGTTTCTTTCCTTTCTTTTTTTTTTTAAGACACGGTTTCTCTGGCTGTCCTGGAACTCACTTTGTAGACTAGGCTGGCCTTGAACTCACAGAGATCCACCTGCCTCTGTCTTCTCAGTGCTGGGATTAAAGACACCACATCCAGCTTAACTTTAATAGTTTTGATTTCTTAGATGAGACTATACTGTACCTATTTAATAAATGTTAGTCTAACTGGTCACCAGTCAAACATGATGAACTTCATTGTTAATCTGACTTACATGAAAAAAAAAATCCCTGCTGTTCTTAATTTATGAATTGATGGCCCATTCCATAAAAACCAAATCAAACAAACAAACAAAAAAAAACCTATGATAGGGCTCAGTTGGTAAAGTGCTTGCCTAGCATGCAAAGTCCTTGGTTCCATTTCTAACATCACATATCCTGGGGATAGTGGTGTATATCCCAATACTCTGCAGGTAGAGGCAGAAGGATCAGAAGCTCAAGGTGATTCTTGGCTACAACACATCAAGTTCAATGCCAGCCAAGGATACATGAGGCACAAACTCAAAAAAAGTATTTTTATAGCACTACCATTTCTAAAATTGACCTCTTGTCCTATTCTATATAAGAGGCAGCAGGGAGCTAAACCACCTTCTTTCAGGCCTTCGAGCTAGTTCACTCTTAGGACTTTCTGCCCCACCCCTTAGCCAATGGCTTGTTCTTGGTCACGTACCTGCTGGCCTCACAGTTTGTCCTCATTCTTTTCAAGTCTTCCTATGTTCTTATCTCACCAAGGACATGTCTCTCCTTTGTCCTTTCTCAGTCCATGTCCTTCACAGACATGAAACCACTTCCTTCATTCAAAGAACATATACGTGGGACTGGAAACTGGAGTCGGCCATTTAGAACACTTGCTGCTCTTACAAAGAACCCAAGTTCAATTCCCAGCACTTGCACTGTGGCTCACAACCATCTGTAGCTCCAGTTCCAGGGAATCTGACACCAAGGGTACCAGGAATCCACAGACATAGATGCAGGCAAAACATTCAATATACATAAAACAAAGAATTTTTAGTTAATAATAATAAAATAAAAACATATTCAAGTCTGCCTTTCTAGAGAAAATCTTCCCTACCCATCATTCCCAAGGCTGCAATGGAAAGATGGTGAGTTTCAGGCCAGCCTGGTTCCCCTGAGACACTGTCTAGGAAAAGAGAGAGGGGAGGGGAAGAGAAGAAGGCAAGAGGGGAGGAGGCAGAAAAGAACCCCTAATCTCTACCATGTCTTAGGCCACTGCTATTCACCCTTCTCATCGGAAAGTCCCAGATAAAAGTGCCACCTTCCTCCACCCACACTGAGCTCTTAGCACTGAGCTACCCACTCATACGAAGATATTGCCAACCATCTACCTCGAAGTTGCAAAACGTTGATTAGCATTCCAATCTCCATTTTTCCTGAGGACATTACCAAATTTGACAATGACCAATGAACACCACTTCCTAGCTGCATGCCCTAGATTTGGGGGATGCTAAAACTGAACCACAATGGTATCATCTGAAAAAATATTCAACAATAATTCTTCTAGTAAACCCAAGGAACGGCACACGTTAAGTGCTGAACCTAAGACCTGGCACACAGCACCTAAAATAGGCTGACAATTATTGAGCACCTTTTGCATATCAGGTACGTGCTGTCATTTTAAGCTAAACCCTGCCATGCCATCATGAAGTGGTGGTACATTTATTATCTTCAGTTTTCAGATGATAAGCTCAGGTTTAGAATTACCATGTAACCTGTCCAAAGTTCCACAGTCGCTGAGTGGAGGAGCCCACACATTCACTAGTGTGTTATTTTACACAGTGCTCACAATTGACATTACAGTAAAAGCCTATAGCTTACCCAGGCTCTACTCACACGACTTCATTTTCTCATTTCCTATTATTTTCTATTCTGATCATTATTCTTAAAAAAAAAAATCACTAAGCCTCCCTGCTGTCAAATCCAATATTCTTTGGAGCTCATTTTATTTGACCAATCCGGATGATGATTTTTCTTTCTTTTTTTTCTTAAAATGAGGGTTTTAGTTCAAGTTGGCCTCCAACTATGCAAATAAGGATGGCCTTGAATTCCTGATCTTCCTGCCTCCACTGCCCACACACCAACAACAATCTTGGAGATCTGACATTCCTCTACTTGACATTTTTCCTTGGCTCATTCATGGAATTCACGCAGATTCCCTCTAACAGATACCTGTGTCTATGATGTGCAGTCACTGTGCTACCCCTGCCCTCCCTCCTGGGCGTCCCAAAGCATCACAAAACGATAGGACCTGTAGGATACAAGCGAAACTACAGACAGCTATGAGGACAGAGAAGCATAGAGTTTCTGGGCAAAAACATGTTCTACATGGAGACCTTGATGTGACATGGAAGGGACCTGATGACAACAGAGTTGTGGTGGGGATAAAGTGCTACAGAAGACGAGAGAGAATCTGGTGCTCTTTGATGTAGCCTCCTGAGCCAGGAAGCCCTGATGGTCCTAACCATTCCACACTATCCTGGCTAATCCTATTGCCTAGTTCAAAAATACGCTGATGTCCATCATCTATAACTCCTCTCCAGATCCAGGTTCTGATTATCCAAAAGGTTGCTGGACATCTACCTCCATTCAAAGATAGTTTGGGTCAAACTTCAAGGCTGCATCCTAGAGTTTATCAGGGGCTTCCTCCCAAGCTCGCTTTAATGCCTAACTTGAGGAACTTCATCTCCAACGAAAGTGTTCTAGTCTCTCCCAACTCAGCCCCCCCCCCCCCCGGATTAAGTCTTCCAACTCCCACACAGTGTCGGGACAGAGTTCAGTTATCCCGAGTTTACGCTCTGCAATGAAGGGAGGAAGATGGGCATGGAGTTGTCCATTGAACAAAAGCATCGGAAGAAGTAATCAAACAGCAGAGAAAGTTTCATTGACGTGAATTTCCTGCCTCCTCACCTTTGAGCAACTGGCTGGCCTGGAAACCCGATCTGAATCAGGTAGACTAGATCCCCAGGGCGGGGGAAAAAATAAAAAGGAAGAAAGAAATGGATTCCTGGGTCCTCTGGTTAACTCAAAGCCTGGCTGACCATCTGAGTCCCCTCCGCTTTGGTTACTGCAGCTGAGAGTAGGCCTAAGACACATGTGGGTCAGGCCCCACCTACCCAAGAGTTAAACCTTCACGGTTCAGGCGGGCAGGACCCCTCATCTAGGCACCCGGGTCTCCCGTGGAACCACACGCGCGGTTCCTGCACCCCACATCCCTCGCTGCCGGCTGTGGCCTCCTACACCAGCTCCTACTCATCGGGTCATGCATCTGAGACACCTTCCCAGAGCCACAAACGCAGAACGCATCTTATCTCCCCCCCCACCCCCGTGGGAATCGCGTCTTGGTGAAAAAAAAAAAAAGTTTTTAAGTCTGAAGTCATCAACGATCCAGACTCCGGATGACTGCAAACTCTTTAAAGGGCCCCGAGTGTGGTTCCGGTTCCATCACTCCCTTGGAGGCTTGCACAGCCGAGCTCCTTCCACCGCGTCCCGACCGGCCCCGGGGGTCCCGATCTCGGCCGCCCTCCACGCGACCCCCGACCCCGGGCTCGCAGTGCTCCTCACCTGGCGTGGCCGCGACGGCCCTGCGACCTCCCCCTTGCACAGTACCCGGGCAGGTGCAGCGGCCTCCTCGCTTTACTTCTCCCGGCTCAGGGGGCGGGGCCCGGAGGGCGCGGTCGGCCCCCTCTCCTGCCATCATTGGTCCGCCCCCGGCTCCCGCCCCGCCCTCTCCGTGCAGCGATTGGTCCGTGCCCGCGGCCCGGCAGCGTGTGACTCGCGTCAACGAACCCTGGCGGCGCCGGCCATTGGCTCCCCGGATGGAGTGAGGATAGTGAGACCCGCGCGGACAGCCAGTCGGCGGCGCCGCAGCGCAGCCGGGGGCGGGGCGCCGCGGCAGCGCGTGACGGCGTGACGGGGCGGGGCAGCCGTGCCCCCCCCCCCCCGGCGTCGCCGTGGCAACCGGGCGGCGGGTCCCCAGGCTGCCTCCCGGGGATGTGGGCCGCGCTGGAGAGCATCTTGTGGCTTCCCGTAGGCTTGCTCCATCCAGAGCCCGGGGGGAAAAAAGCAGTACGGATGTTTTTTTTGAAAAAAAAAAATCCATTTACGTTTTTAGTCTTGCCTTCCAGGGTTTATTCTGGAATTCGATCTTTCTTGAGACAGCACTCATGTACAGCCTGGCCTTTGAACTGGATATGTAGTCTAAGGATAACCTTGAACTCTAATCCTCCTGCCTCTCTGCCTTGCAGCATCTATCTTGCTTCCCGTGTCCTTTAATAAGTGAAGCTTTTTTTTAAAAGTTTTTTTTTTTTTTAATTATTATTACATATAGTGACTCTGTGTGTTCACGGGACAACTCGGGGGGTTGGTTCTCCCTTTCACCATGTGGTTCTGGGGATCAACCTCGGATGGTCATTGAGCCCAGTAACTATCTTTTAATAAATCTCGGTATATGGAACATGGTGCAATGTAGCTTCTGCAATAACCTAGAGGGATAGTTGCCATCAATTTCCATGTTGCAGATGAGGGAACAGAAATTGGAGACATCCAGGGGTGATTCTGCTGAAGCCGTGGTGAGGTAGCTCGGTGGTGGAGTTCACGGTTAGCATTCTAGGGGCCCAGGGTTCCACACACGGAAATCGATTCAAAGTCAAGGGAGTTGTCTGAGTTCTAGGGTGTCAAGACTTGCTCCTGAGCCAGGACGTGAGCTAAGAATGCCCAGGTTTGTGTGCTGCAATTGCTGCGTGGCGGAGCCAGTACCCCAAGACAGAAGAGCTAAGTAAGCCTACAACTCTCGGCTCATTTTACACCATGTCTTCACTTGTGTACGGTGTAAAGAGGATGTGATAGCAGGATGCTAACCTTTTGCTTAAGGAAGATGTCTTTAGGGGTAAAGAAAAAGCCATATCAGTGTGTGTGGTGGTGTGTAGCAGCAGGCTTTCTAAATGTTTTCATATAGGTGCACACTGTGCTAAGAGTTTCCCAAATCATGACATGGAGACTTATTATTAATTGTGAATGTTTGGCCTTATCTTACGCTCGTCCCACTAGCTCTTATAACTTAATTTAAACCTGTTTCTCTTCATCTATGTTTTGCCTCAGGGCTTTTTACCTTTCGTTCTGTATGTCCCACTCCCTGTGTGGCTGGCTGGCCCCGGGCATCTCCTTCTCTATCCCCCTCATTCTCTCTTCTCATTCTCCTTCGAGAATTGGCCATTCAGCTTTTTATTAGAACAGTCAGGTGCCTGAGGCAGGCAAGATGAAACAGCAACACAACTTTAGAAACAAATGCCGCATAAACAAAAGCAACACACTTTGACATAATTAAACAAATACAGCATTAACAAATGTAACACATCTTTGCATAAAGTAATATTCCACAGTAGTGGTGCCAGCCTGTAACCCTAACACTTGGCAAGTAGAAACAGAAAAATCAGAAATTCAAGATCAGCCTTGTTTACATAACACACTCAAGGCCAGTCTGGCTATGTGAGACCTATGTCATCATAATAACAAACTCCCCAAACTAAATAAATAAAATGCAGATGTGGAGGCACATTCCTGTAGTCCCAGTGTTGGGGATGTTGAAGCAGGATTGTTCTGAGTATGAGGCCAGCCTGGGCTACATAACATGATTTTATCTTAAAAACAACTTTTTTCCTTTTTTCTCTTTTCTTCTCTTCTCTCCTCTTTCTTCTTCTTCTTCTTCTTCTTCTTCTTCTTCTTCTTCTTCTTCTTCTTCTTCTTCTTCTTCTTCTTCTTCTCTCTCTCTCTCTCTCTCTCTCTCTCTCTCTCTCTCTCTCTCTCTCTCTCTCTCTCTCTCTCTCTCTCTCTCTCTCTCTCTCTCTCTTTCCCCCCTCGATACTGGGTCTCATTATGCAGCTCTGGCCAGCCTTGAACAGAGGAGATCCACTTGCCTC